GATATATATCGCTATTGAATTATCGCCCAGCCCTAATCTATATATAATATGTTGCCTTGCTTGTCCCTACACGGCACCTGTCCCACAGTGCCTCGCGCCGCTCAATAAGTAGTAACAGAGGTCTTATACTCCTAGAATCACTGGTAGTAGTTAACCGTACCTAGCTCAAGTTCGCAGTCATATCGTTGGGCTCGGATACCGTTGTACGGTTTTTTGGAGGAGCTGGGAGAAAACAACGCCTGGATGTATTGAGCCATTTCATTTACAACGTGAAGGACAACAAAACAACCTGCATGATAATGACCGATCATGCTGCCGATGCCAGTGGCGGCCAAGAGTATGATGACTAAAATGAGACTAAGACTAAAATTGATTTTCGTCATTAGGAATAAGACTAAATAGGGAAGGCAATGACTAAATATGACTAAGACTAAAATTGATTTCATCATTGTGACGAAGATTAAATTACAAAACACTGGACTGAATGAGAGCAATTAAAAAACTGTGCAATGAAGTAAGTCTCACACTTTACTGAACTGTAAAGTAACATTTTTTAGTACAAAGGCTATTCTACACCAATTAAAAGGTTATATATATTAGCTACTGTACAATGTAATACGTGTTTTCCATCTGCTTTGACAGAGTGCTGTAGCTGCGGGTCACATGGAGGGCAGTCTGTGTTTATGACAGGATAAACCTTAACATTTAGGGTGTTTAAAAGGGTCCTGTAGGGGGAGCTCCATCAAAAATTACCTGGTGTTGCTTTAAAATAAATGTACGCAATCTGACTGAGCTTTGGGGCTCAAAGAATGTATTAAATAATTATTCCACTCTCATTTTGATATTTACCTTGTGTTGGTCAATTACATAAAACCACGAAGAATTGTGTAAAGGTTCAAGTAGAGCAAATACTTTTGGTTTAGAGACGAAGAACTGAGAAAGTTATGGTAATTCTGCGCACTATTCGACTAATGAAAAAACACTGGCCTCTTGACCTTGTGCTGTGTTTTCAGAGTGTGCCTAGAACAGAATCTGAAATTTGAGGTATCTGCTAATGGCACCGAAAAGCCTGGTAATGCAGCAATCTGGAAAACTCTGTCACATCAAAACAAATGCATATTGTGCCTCAGGCTCGAGTTCAATCTTCAATTTCCTTTTAATTATTCATAGGGGAGAACATTTGCTGAAATTTTATATTGCAGAGCCGCACTGAGATGGGGATCCTTTAAAGGATTATGTTCAGTGTTTTAATGAGTGACTGGATAGCCTCTGGAGAGATACAGCCCAATGTAACAAAGTCATAGAGGATAATTGTAAGAGAGCCCTGCGCTCAAACACTTATGCAGCATGACACCAAGTTTAATACAAATGCTGAGCTATCTATACACAGACTTAACCAGATTCACAAAGACACTCCTTGCTGCATTATAACATTACATGCACGCATGTTATATCAGTAACGCTTGGAGATTTCAGCATATGGACGACAAATTCGTGGCTTTAGTTTAGTGAATCATTTAGCCATATGAACATATGCCATACATATTCCATTTCTGCCTCAGCTTCCAACAAGCTGCGAGGATGAAAATGGAAACCATTTGTTTTTTAAAGTAAGAAATAATGAAAAAAAAATTAGAGAAATTAAAATTCAGGCGGCACAGAGAAAGGGGAACATTTTCAGTCTTCCCAAGGATCCGAAGACTCGACAGGCATGGATTTTTTTCATCTATCAGAAGATCCCTGCAAAGTTTGATGCTCAGCTGTTCATTTGGACTGCTGGGTGCTGACTGGACTGGACCGGCCGTTTGAACCGAGCCATCAGCACACAGCTCCGGGGCTGGTCCGAACCCAACCCGGTGACAATATGCTTTCCGCCGCCTACCTTACTGTGCCTCCCGCCGTGCATGGTAAGGCAGGCAAGGGGAAGCATGGGGCCGCCGGTGTCCAGGCCACTGTCACCGGGTTGAGTTCGGTCGCCCAGTCCCCCCAACTTCTGCTGCACGGTAGTCAACCAAAATCCCGGACGATTTTCAAATTCCCTCCGGACATTTTATTCGGTCTCATTTTTTTCAATCTCTATAACGCCTCCCTCAAGTGATTCAGAACCCCCTCCCCCCCGCGTAACTGACATTTATGCACTATTTTTGCACGCCACTTATCACTTTACTTGGATTTATCACTTTAGTTGGATATTCACTTTATTTGGATTTAGTTTTTACATATGCATAGATATACATACATATATATGTACAGAAGAGCTATATGTGTATATATTTTATCTCTTAATATTCTTATTTTTTATCTTTATTATATTGTGTAGTTGGATGTGTGTATTTATATATAAAACTGTAACTGGAGCATGTAACAAAAAAGCAATATCCCTCTGGGATTATTAAAGTATTTCTGATTCTGATGTCAATGAAAAAAGAAGACCAAATCAACAATCTCAATGTTTCAGTGAGTGAGTGCTTGTTGCTATGATGCGTCTTTGCTCAGCAGCCTCGCTTGTTATAAACCAACCAATCAGCGCACAGCTCATCTAAATATTCATGATCATACCATAAAAGGAAGAAAACCTGTCGTTTCATTCTAGGGCTTTAAACCAGGCTTGCATAAGGGCTCATAGAACAGCAAATATGCCATTTTCAGCCCAACCAATGTTACACACCGTATTCAGAGACCTTAAGGACCAGCACCAAATAGCCTATAGAATAATTCTATCACCCCTTTAAGAGGCTTCATCACGCTACATAACAGAAATTATGCTGAAAAAAATACTTTTTAAGTACTGTAATAAAAATGAAAACCTATTTTATGATCGAAAATTAAAAAAGGAATCTTGGGTAATAAAGCAGACTGAAAATGTTTTGTCATTGTCTCCTTTCTATCTCCTCTTTCTTTCATCTTTTCTCTTTTTTTTTCTTTTTTCCTTTTTCGTCTGTTTTTCCGCTCTATTTACATTGCAGTGTCCATATAAACTGTAAAACTCCCTGCATAATTANGACTAAGACTAAAATTGATTTCATCATTGTGACGAAGATTAAATTACAAAACACTGGACTGAATGAGAGCAATTAAAAAACTGTGCAATGAAGTAAGTCTCACACTTTACTGAACTGTAAAGTAACATTTTTTAGTACAAAGGCTATTCTACACCAATTAAAAGGTTATATATATTAGCTACTGTACAATGTAATACGTGTTTTCCATCTGCTTTGACAGAGTGCTG